CACATTTACATGCGTTATTTCATTTAATCATTGCAGAAACCCTGTGATACACATACTATTAATGGCCCCATTTTGCAGATGAACAAACTGAGGCCATGGAAGACTTAAGTGTCATTCCCGAAGTTATCAAACAAACCAGACCAAGTTGCCATTGGGCGCAGATCACCCTGCAGCGTGGCCAGTTCTTTCCCTCATGCACCCTGGCTCACTCTGCCTTTCCTTCCCGTGTTCTGAGCCAGGCAACATGCCGGTCCCCAAGAGAAACTGCTGGACACCCGGCTGCCTGAACTGTTTCTTGGAGGTCTGGCCATCTGTCAGCTAGGAGGACAGCCACGTGTCCCAGGCTAGCTCGTGCTTCCTCTCCGGGTGTGAGGTTGGGCTGTGCCTGTGCTCACGTCTCCGATGCAGCTCCCTGTGGGAACAGCCTATTTGAAGCTCAGCTGACACTGCGTGGTGGCAGCTGGTGGGGAGGGGGTCTCACCTTGGACGTGGCCGAGGCAGGAAGGAAGGGTGGAGGGCTGGGCCATCAGCTGCTTTTGTCTCGGAGCAGTTTCTTATTCTGCTCTCAGGAAAGCATGCCCAGAAAGCAAGCAAGGCTTGGTCCATCTGCCTGGTGGCTTTGCAGAGTTCTTCATCAGCATGGCAGGCAGGCATTCAGGTGGGGTCCCCAAGCCCACTTTCTGTGCCTTCTGCCCAGTGGGCCCCTCCTGCCTTAGGCATGTGCTTCCACTCCCAGCCTGCTCCTAGGAGACCTGGGGCTCAGGTGCAGAATATGCAGGAAGGGTGGTGTGAGCACGTGTGTGTGAGCACGTGTGTGTGCCCGTCTGCAGGTGTGTGCACGTGTGTATACATGGGTCTTCTGGCTTGGTTGTGTAGGTATTCCTCTTTGGGGTGATGGTAGAAGGCTTTGTCCTTCCTCAGGCCTTGCAGGAATCAGGGATTGGGGCCCTTTCCGGGTGCCCTAAGTCCTCCAGTAATACGCCCATTTGGACTTTGCTGACACCAGCACAAGACGAGTTGCAGGGGAGACAAGAAAAAGGAAGCAAGATTTCCATCAAGTGGATTTTTTCTTTATGTGGCTTGTAAGATCATTTGGATTTAAGGATTGCTTGCTTTGCTCTTTCAGATCAATTTATTGGAGATGAGGCTACCAAATCTAATGTCTATTTTAGGAGATGAAACCAAATGAATGGCCTATGATAGAATCCATCCAAAGCCTTGGAGTTATCACTCTCAATATTTTCAGCTTATTAAAAAAGGCAACAAGCCAAGAAACAGAGTTTTCTCGTATTAGGCTGCCTGCTGACTCTTCCTGTGATGTGATGGAAAGAGTTGAGAACAAGGAGCTAGGCAGTTGCATTAAAATTCTCAGTTCTATTGTGACCCTGGCAAATGAGGGCAATGGTGATCGTTGTGACTGCTTGGGTGGCACCACCATCACTGTCATTCCCATTATCAACACCATCACCATCTTCACCATCATCACCATCACCACCATTACCATCATCACCATCACCATCACCACCATTGTCACCATTACCATTATCATCACCATCATCACCATCACCATCATCACCATCACCATCTTCACCATCATCACCATCACCACCATTACTATCATCACCATCACCATCACCATCATCACCATTGTCACCATTACCACCATCACCACCTTTACCATCATCACCATCACCATCATCACCACCATCATCACCATCACCATTGTCACCACCA